TTCTAGAAGGAGGTAAGGGTCCCACACAGTCTAAGATGACATGGTCAAAAGGCGTTCTCACTACAGGAATGGGCTGTAACGGGGCAGGAGGAATGGGCTGGTTCGGCTTTCCTGTCATCTGACAGACATGGCAACGCCGACAGAAGAGAGACACCTCTTTCTTCATCCCTGGCCAAAAGAAATGCTGCAACAACAGTTTATAAGTTTTGTTGACACCCAAATGGCCAGACCAGTCACTCTCATGTGCCAAGGAGACCACATGTTCTCTGTAAGAGAATGGAACAATTATTTGTTTCACCAACCCCCATTCCAAGCCCTCAGCTGCGGGCTGAGGCCAACAACGCACCAGCACATCATTATCTAATAAATAATGTGTTGTGGTTTTATCAGTTTTATCTGAAGTGGTCACCTGTTCAAAATAAGGTTTCAGAGTTACATTACTCTTCTGTGCAGCAGAAAGGGTTTCTGCCATAAGTGGAAAAGGTTCTCCTTGCTGAGGATCAGCATCAGCCTTTTCTCTCTGCTCTTCTGCGTCTGATGAGGGAACAAACCCAAGTCCATCATGGGTTGTCTGTTCGGAGTCATCACTGAGGAGTCTCATCAGCACTGAGTCATTTAACTGGATGTCCGCATTATTCTGTGTTTGCGAACGGGTGACAGCACAAGCTGGGTAAAAATGTGAATCAGAAGCACAATTTACATGTTCGGCTTGAGGTTGAGAAACTACTTCTAGAAGAGGTAGCACTTTACCTCCAGCAACATCATTCCCCAACAACACATCAACCCCACTTACTGGTAAATGGTCACAAATGGCAACATCAAAGCGGCCGCTAACGAGCTGACATTCTAGGTGAACGCGGTGCACCTGGGCCGGCAGGGATTTCATTTCAATTCCCTGTAACAAAACAGCGTACCCGCGTGAACTACTGGCTGAAAATGGGAGTGCGCTGCTCAGTATTAACGTTTGAGACGCACCTGTGTCTCTTAAAATGCGAACGCTTTGCTTGTCCGCATCACCGGGAGTCGAGATCTCCCCCGAAAGAATAAAGGGTGCAAAACAAGCATCAGGCTCTCTGGCGGCGCACAAGGGTTTAACCACAGGCGACTTTTTAAGGAATGCAACTTCCTTAGGAGCTGCAGTGGGCTTTCCGTTCTTTTTCTGCAACATAAAACAATCCTTAAGAACGTGTCCCGTTCTGTGACAATAGTAACAGGTACGGGTTTCAGGATTACCGTTTTGAGGGCTTCTTTTTATGGATTTCTTTATCAAAACAGGCTGAACGTCTTTTCTCTTATCTCTCCTCACAATCTCTGTGAGTGAGTGTGAATTCGTCCGCTAAAAGGGACGCAGCTGATAAAGTGCTGACTTTTTGTTCATTTAAGTAGGTTACCAGTCTCTCAGGCAGCTTACGTTTAAAATCCTCCAAAAGGATAAGTTCTCAGAGGTCACTCAAGGTTTTAATTTTTGTGGACGAACACCATTTATCAAGCAGCATGCTTATCTCACGTGCAAATTCCACATGTGTTTGTCCAGCACTTTTCTTAGCTTGTCTGAATTTTTGACGATAAGCTTCTGGGATTAACTCATACGCTTGAAGTATAACAGCTTTCACTCGGTCATAGTCCAAACTATCTGTGACAGAGAGCGCAGACAGAACTTCTAAAGCTCTGCCGCTCAGCTTGCACTGGAGCAGCAGAGACCACACCCCGCGCGGCCACTGCAACGTCTCCGCAATTCTTTCAAAAGCTACAAAATAGCTGTCAGCCTCGGTCTCTCTAAAAGTAGGCATTAAGGAAATGCACTTACTGATGTCAAAGGCCGGGGTTGTGGTGGGTTGCGGAGCTTTGGTGGGCGTGACGTAAAGTCCAGGGTTGGAAAGCTGGGCTTCCAGCTCCAGTTTCCTTATTCTCACAGCTGTGTCAGCTTCAATCTCCATCCTCTGAACCTCCAGTTCCATCTGGAGTCTTTTAGCCTGGGCTCTCTCCTCTCTTTCCATGTCCAGACGTGCCAGCCGCACCTGTAATCGTGCGTCTCGAGATCCTTCCGTCGGCGAACCTGGGGAGGTCGGAGCAGACTTTTGTACTGTTAGAGGAGTTTCTCCTGTCTCCGTCGTCTCACCCTCACGATCCTCCGCAGCAGCAGGGACATCAGGATCGTCGCATTCATCAGGATCTGCAGGAGATCCTTCTGGTTCAGTCTTTGCACCAGACTCATTCTCAGTCTTTAAAATCCCCATGTCCTCCAAACGCTCCACAACGAGCAATTTCAAGTCTTTTTTCAGCACAGGGTTTGGGATGTCAAGAGCAAGGTTGACAGCTATCTGCAGTAGGTCAGCCTTGCGGCAACGCTCCAGCACCTCACGGGATGGAGCCTCCATAAATGTCTCCACACAAAACTGAGCCATGTTTAAGAGCAAAAGAAACAAAAGGACACAACACAAAACAGCGTGGGTTATGTGTCTTCACAAAACCAACAAAGAGCTACCAAATGTTTAAACTAGTCCAACCGTTTGGCACGGGCTTAACTGATCTAAAACAGGCCATAAACACGTAATAAAACAGCTATAAATCAGTAAAAAATCCCGGACGAGCCCCCATTTATGTTACACCCCTCTGTGGGCTCAGCTAGGAAGGAGAGGGGAATAAACATAAGATGGACCAGTATAACAAAAAGTGACCCTCGTTGGGGAGAAAAAGGCTTGACCAAGCAAAACCAAACTCAAAGTGTCCTTGTGTTTTCAAAGGTTTTATTACAAAAAAAAAAAAGGAACCAAAAGAAGGGCCAAAAAACCCTTTTCTAGAAGTTATCCAAACTAAGTTTAAATGAATAACTGAAAATGTCCACACGACCAACCACTCTAAATCCTAAATAAATCTCCTTTATTTAAAAAGGGAATGAAACGCAAAAGGGGAAAAATCCCACCCTTCAATTAAATAAGGTTTGTCTAAAAGACAAAACCAAATACTGAATTAACTAAAGCTGCCAAAACACCAAAAATAGCTCAGGAAAACCGGGACTGCAAAAGGGGAAGAATCCCCACCTGGTAAGTTATCCACAAGGTGGTCTAGCAGACACACCAAAAACCAAAGATTTACCAGTTAACTCAAAATAATGTCCCAAACACTCAAAATGCTCTAAATGCTCTAAAGTCACAAAGACAAGCTGGTTTACACCACAAAACTCAGGTAACCACCAACGGGGAGAGAACACACATTGCCTCTGCAACCACAAACATTTCTCTCCCCTGATGAGCTCCAGCTGGCTGCTTTTAAAGAGCCGGCTGATGAGGTGCAAAGTCCCAGCTGGCCGTGACTGCTGCTATGGCGCTGTCCATGGTGCTGGAGTAAGGACAACATCCCAAGGAGTAGCTGTCCGTGGTGCTGCGCTGCTGCACAGGGAACGGTGCGCAGCACACCACTGGGCTCCAAAACGGCGGCGGCCGTAACAATGCCAAATACTTAAAAAATTCCTATTTAAAGAGCAAGTCACCCCCAAATCACATTTTTTTTTTGCTGATAAACTATATAAAGGAGTGTCTAATCCTGTTACAGACACGTGTAGTCAATAATTTGTCAGTTCAGTGCATCTTGGTTAAAATTCAAATATTCTGCCTAAAACTGTCAGTGTTGCGCCGTCGTCAGGGAAAAATTCTGCACTGTATTTGAATTTAAATCTGCCACCGCTTTTGGCTAAGAGGTATGCTATTATGTCTTCTGGTACATTATGATGTCACAATGCCATTGTGAGCCTGTGTGTGTGTATTTGTTAGCGGCTCCGCCCTCTCGGTCTGCCAAGCAACATCATTTGTTGCATTTTTCAAACATGAAGTGGGAGTGAAGTAACTTTCTTGTAGGGGGTGACTTGCTCTTCAAGGAACCTAGCAGATTGCATCGAGACACTGACTAGTGTCAGCGTCTTTACAGCAATCCCCATACTAAACAAGCATTTTGCAATGTGGAGAGTAAAACTCCTTTTTAACAGGAAGAAACTTCCAAAAAACCAAACTCCGTATGAGCAGCCATCAGGACCTCAGAGACTTCTGCACTGAGCGGGTTATTTTTGAAGGAGGACATCTTTGGATTTGAACTAACTCTCCGTAAACAGAAACACAAAACAACCACCATTAGAGACTCCCCAGTCCTCTCACTCAAGAACAAATGAGGAGATTTTCGTAGGGACAGTTAATAATTAAATTAATAAGCATATATTAGACAAATGAAAAAGGATCCGGCCTCTGCTTTTCGCAGATGATGTGGTCCTGTTGGCTTCTTCAGAACCTGATCCCCAGCCTTCACTGGAGCGGTTCGCAGCCGAGTGTGAAGCAGCTGGGATGAGAATCAGTTCCTCTAAATCCGATGAGTGGGAAAAGGGTAGAATACCTACTCCAGGTCAGGGATGAGGTCCTGCCCCAAGTGGAGGAGTTTAAGTATCTCAGGGTGTTGTTCACGAGTGAGGGAAAACTGGAGCATGAGATAGATTGGCGGATTGGTGTTGTGTTTGCAGTGATGCGGGCGTTGTACCGGACCGGTCTGTCGTGGTCAAGAGGGAGCTGAGTCGGAAGGAGAAGCTCTCGATTTACCGGTTGATCTATGTTCCTACCCTCACCTATGGTCATGAGCTTTGGGTAATGACCGAAAGAACGAGATCGCAGATACAAGCGGCCAAAATGAGTTTTCTCCGTAGGGTGTCTGTGCTCTTCCTTAGAAATAGGGTGAGAAGCTCGGTCATCCGGGAGGGGCTCGGAGTAGACCTGCTGCTCCTCCACATGGAGAGGAGCCAGTTGAGTTGGCTCGGACATCTGGTCAGGATGCTTCCTGGACGCCTCCCTGGTGAGGTTTTCAGGCACGTCCAACCGGGAGGAGACCTAAAGGTAGACCCAGGACACGCTGGAGGAACTAGGTTTCTCATCTGGCCAGGGAATGCCTTAGGATTCCCCCAGAAAAGCTGCCCCAAGTAGCTGGGGAGAGAAAAGTCTGGGCTTCACTTCTTTGGCTGCTGCCCCCGCGACCCGACCTTGGATAAGTAAGCGATAACAGATGGATATTTAACATACCTGATGAGCTCAACAAACAAAACAAATGACATTAAAGGCTGCCCGTTTCAGTTGCAGTTTCTTACACTTTAAGAGAGCCAAAGTTATTTAACAGCAGAAGTCCAAATATACGAACACCCTGGAGTCTGAAACAATATTTAGAATATAGTGCTTATCTGTCACTAAACTAACTTGAAAATTTCTACTAATTATGTATAAATGTAATTCTAATAATGTCCAATTCTTGAAGTTTTGCATAAAATCAAAAAAGGTGTCATTGTAAAACTCTGTCCTTCATTAATTCTGATGTTCTTTTCTGCTTCAGCTTTTTGCCTCATCATACCTTCAGTCTGATGTTCCTGAACCTGTCCCTACTGCTGAGGTCAGCACATATTTCATGTTTTTTTTGGTGACAATTTTGTCATTATTATGCGTCAGGTTTTTGGTAGTTTTTACAGTCACTAATAATTGCAAATCTGTTTTATATACACAGAGAATTCCAGTTTTATCCCTGGGAAATCTGGGAAATCCCTCAACCTTTGACGCTAACAGTAATGGTAAGAAAAATTGGCGTAAAATGCTGTAGTAAAAGTATATATTAATGCTCAGACATTTTGTGCACAGTAGATCAAATTTATTTGTTACTCAGATGAAACCTCGGGCAGAACAAACCTATGTTTTTGGACCAAAATTACAATTTCAAACAACATGATCATGGAATTGTCAAAGCTGCAATTGTTTTGCAGCACTCCTGGAAATCCCAGGATCTGTTGTGTCAAGTATTTTAGACATCTGGTATTTTCCTCTTTGTTTTATTATAGCTGCAAATGCAGGCTGTCTGTGGTTTTATTTTAGATATCCAAACATACATTTGTAAGAATTGTATTGAGGATATTCTTAATTTATATTTTAAATTGTAAAAACACTTTGAGATATCAGTAATTACATTTATGACTAGCAACAATGTATTTTAACTAGGGATGGGTACCGAATTCTGTACTTTTTAAAGGTACCGACCGAATTCCATGGTACCGACCGAGCACCGATTCACGTCGTTTCAAACGGTGCCTCGTTTCGGTACCCATCCTTAATAACGAGAACTTGCCAAGACAGCTGCGCATGCGCAAGAGCGTTATGTCGTCGGTCGCTGCGAGCGAGTTGTAAACAGAGCAGCATGGTAGAAAGAACGCACGCTAACGCTTGGGTCCACTTCACTAAATGTGATGGGTAACTGGGTGATGATGAAACCAGCGACAGACAACGATCTAAGTGAGACATCCTCATCTTAATCTGCTCCGGTAGGTAAATAAAATGTTTAAGATAACGTTACCTTGATATGTTAGCTTCCGTTTTGCTAATGGTGCGTTTGCTTTCTCCTCGGAACTCCGAATTTCCGACTAGAACATGAAGAAGAAGAAAATATCATTTCTATAGCGCCTCTCAAGATAAAAATCACGAGGCGCTTCACAAAAACAAAAACAAAAAATATAAAAAATTGTAAAAATATAAAAAGCATTTTGAAAATGTTTAAAAACATATTTAAAATGAGCAAGAATAAGCAATTGCGATTTAAAAGAAATGTTAAGAAAGAGAGAGAGAGTGAATAGGAAAGAGGGAAATCAGTGGATCCTGAGGAAGGTGGAATAGGTGGGGAGAGCAGAATAAAGAGAGCGAGGTGAAGAAGGTCATACAAAAGCCAGCTTGAACAAGTGAGTCTTCAGCTGCTTTTTGAAGGAGACCACTGAGTCCACTGATCTCAGGCTCAGGGGGAGAGAGGTCCAGAGTCTGGAGGCCACAGCAGCAAATAAACGCGCTCTAAAGTTTGGCTTCACTTTACTAAATGCGACGGGTGATTGGGTGAAGATCAAACCAGTGACAACGATCTAAGTGTGAGGCATCATCATTTTAATCTGCTCCAGCAGTTAAATAAACTGTTAAAGATAACGTTAGCTTGATATGTTAGCTTCCATTGCCACCGTTGTTATCAGCTAATGGTGCGTTCGCTTTCTCCTCGGAAATTCTAACTTCCCAGTAGGAAAAATCAAATGAAAAAAGACGGCAAAAGGAATGAAGATACACAGTAAATTTAGTTCACAGTAAAGATGTTTGCTTCAGTTTAATTATCAGCTTATGAAACTACAAGGACGATGTTAATACAAACAGTTGAATGTTATTTATTGTGATATTTATCAAATATTATTATACATTGAGAAAAGTATATATTTAATTATAAAAGAGAATTAAAATAAACACTCAAAAGTATAGAAAATTGGTACCGTTAAGTACCGGTATTGATTCGTAGGTACCGGGAATCGGTACAGGATCGATTCAAATGTCAAAGGTACCCATCCCTAATTTTAACATATCCAAAAAGATTTTCATGATATCTGGTTACAGACAGCAGGAATATATTTCTAATATAAACAACTGAATTATAGCTATCTCACATGATAGTTTCTCCTATTTACAATGTTCATTCTAGACAGGAAGAATGTCTTTAGGAAGCACTAAATACCCATACACATGAATGGGAAATGTGACGTAATTTGTCCCAGGAAGAATTATATTTCAGACAGGGTTTGACATTAACACTCGCCACTCGCCAAATGGCTGCCAGAGGAAGTTTTGCAGTCGGCAAACGAAATGTACGTCAGCAAGGTAAAGAAAAACCTTTCCTGTGTTTTAAAAAGAACCAAAAATGGAATTAGAAACTAAATACAGTAAGAACACACCAAAGATAGCTAGCATCATGTTAAAACTAGGGAGGAAATGTGGCCATTTTAAACTGGATCCAGCCAGCCTTCAAAAAGAAACTGTTTGAAATGGCCAGTATGCTAGAAAGAAGAACCGTAGCAACTCACTTGTCATTGGAAAAAGACACGAAGCTCAAGAATGTTCGAGAACATGAAAACCAACCAGGTTCAAACTGAGTCTCCACTCGTCACACCCACAGTGTTGGCACTAATGACCATGTCAGAGCAAACAATTAAAACAATGTTTCGTACCATACATGCTGATGGAAAGAAGGCAAGGCAATTTTCTGACTCTTGAGTTGAGGTTCCTGTAAAACTTTGCTTCTTTGAAATGTCCTTGTTCTTAAAAGGAACCCAGGTTACAAAAACTTGTGGTTCTTTAAAGACAAATGTTAGTATTAGTTATAGTAAAATTGTGTAAAAAACCTTCTTGATGTCTTAGTTTTTATAAAAATTGTAAAGATTGTTTAACTTGTAGGTCACCATCGTTTGTCGCAAAGCACTCTGGGTAGTGACGTCATTTGGTTGTACTTTGGTTGCAGTTTTGGGATCCTGTAGGGACTGTTCAGCGACATCAACATGTCATCTGTTCAGCCTTTTCAATTTGAACCAGAGTGAAACATTAATGAGGACATCACTGACCATGTTTCACAAAACGAGCAGCAAAATGAAGAGCAAGGGCAGGATAAAGCGAGCGCAGGACAAAACCGGTGGTGCGTGTGAAGCAAATGCGTCTCCATGGTAACCGAGAGGGAGAGTGTTTGTTGTCAAGAGCTCACATTTTTGTCAGCAGAAGTTAAAGGTAAGCGATCTTGTGGCCAAACTTATCCAACTCACTTTTCTCTGTGGGTGTTCCACGGTAACAACTTGCCGTACATCAGCTGGCCACTGTGCCGCTGCATCTGACATGTCTGAATCTGTCTGACTGGCAGCATCGTAAAATTTTGGAGAGCACTGTATTGATACACTTACTGCTTGTTTTACTGACGGTAGAGGTGAATTATCAGCTTCATCTGTGGCAAGTGGTGTGTCCAATGGTTCGCTCAAAGTGACAGTAGCGGTGCTACGTCGATATGTGTTCCCCCCTCAAGATCAATTTCTTTTCCACCCGGCTGCGAGTGGTAATGATCCACTTACAAAAAATAACCCTCACCCATACCCTAACCATAACCATCCTGTCACCAAAAATTTATGTTTTGCATAATTATAATTTATGAAGGTACTCTGTGTAGCTTGTTTTAGGGTTATGGTTAGGGTACGGGTTGGGGTAAGGGTTAGGACACGTATTTGTTGTGAATGGATGTTTCGAACTTGTAGCTTAGTGGAAAAGAAACAGATCTCAAAAGGGGAACACATATCGACATAAAACCTGCAGCTGCAGGAGTGGGTTGTCTGCTCAGGAGAGCTTCCAGCGTCTCTTGTCTATGGCGCTTTTAACTGCATGTTTCACTTTCTCTCCGAGGGCGTTTAGGCTCCTTGTGTGGAAAAATGGTCAGTAAAACATTTAGTTTCAGCCTTCGCTTATACCCAGCCACTCCGGTGAAATATTTAAGTAGTTGTGGCTAAGTATAAGCCTCATAAGTATCAGGAGAAAAATGTCAGATCTTTCCTCTTCTTGTCAGTAGGAAAGCTGTGTCAACTCGCATCACTCCCCATGCTGCCTTTTGACTGGAAATTGCATCCAAAAGCAGCACAATGCGGCATTTTTACCAACTAATTATTACGGTAAGCGCGTAAACAAACACTAGCATCAATAGCTAATCTTCCGAGTTAAACCAATATACATCATCGCCCCAGAGTGCATTGTGTGTGGAAAAATCGTGTCCTAGGTATGTTCAAATATGTACTAAATATTGTAGATTTCTAAATAAATGGCAATATTTTTTTTGTTTCTTACAACATATTTTGGTGCAACAAGAAACTGTGGCCTATTAGGGCATACATGTCCTTTTAAAATCATTGGTGAAATATTGCAAATTAATCATAATAATACCAAATACCAAAAAAGGCAAGTTATATAGATTAACATTGATACATATTTATGATATTAAAATCTACAAATATAATTGTATTTTGAATTTATTCTATTTTTTTTATTCTCTGACCCAAATTTAATGCTGTGGCACAAAGACGGTGTTAGAAGTAGATTTTATGGACAAAAAGTCAGACTTGATTTCAGAAAAAGTAAATTTTAAAATATTTCTAAAAAAAAAAATCTGATAAGATAAGAAATTTGTGTTTTTTATATTTATGTTTTAATTATGTTGTCACTGCTCTGTTTGGATTCAACACAATTTACACTCACCTTAAGGATTTTTAGGAACACCTGTTCAACTTCTCCTTAATGCAATTATCTAATCAACCAATCACATGACAGTTGCTTCAATGCATTTAGGGGCGGGGTCCTGGTGAAGACAATCTCCTGAACTCCAAACCGAATGTCAGAATGTGAAAGAAAGGTGATTTAAGCCATTCTGAGCGTGGCATGGTTGTTGGTGCCAGACGGGCCGGTCTGAGTATTTCACAATCTACTCAGTTACTGGGATTTTCACCCACAACCATTTCTAGGGTTTACAAAAAATGGTGTGAACTAGGGCTGGGCGATATATCGATATTTTTAAAATATCGGTATAATTTTTAAACAAGATATAAGATGACTTTGTATCTTTATATCGATATAACTGGTCAAACTGCTATGCTAGCTATTAGCTGCAATGCTAGCGACATGTTGCTCCGTCTCTAAGCGGTTATTACGTGTATTCTCACAAGTTTGCTCTATCTGAGAGCCTCTGGGTGAATGTGCTGCTCTAAACTTTGCATTTAGCGTCCTGGTTTTTAATTATTTGGGGACGTTCAATGCCAACGGAGTTCTGTTTATCCATTCTGCTCGTGCGGAGACGAACCAAACCCCTCCCTCCCCTGTGTAATCGGGAAACATCTATGGATAGTCAGAGTGGCCAAATTACCTCAAACGTATTGTAACAGTTTAATAGTAAACTAGAGGGTTAACGTTTTATTTTGAAGGCGAGCTCAACGGGTGAGAAATGTTGTTCCGGTTCCGTTTTTTCCGCTCTGGTTAGCTATGCTAGTAAATACTCTGTTACAAGCGATTCTGTTGAAAAAGTTAAGAGTTTGTAAGGCATGGGTTACGGCGACAGAAGCCCGAAAATAATCCCCATAAAAGAGCAACCAGAGACTCTTGAGTCATTACAGTATAATCACTGATATGAATCAGTACGGTTAGATTCCAGCCAGGTTTGCCCTGATTACTAATAACTCCACTGTGCATGACCCACGTGATCGTAGATGCAATTACATCATCATAAATTTAGCTTAACATGATATACCGTAAATCCTCTAATACAGGCCCGGGCCTGTATTTGACTCAAGCTCATCAAGCTCCAGGCCTTTATTGGAAGGAGGGCCAGTATTAGAGGCAGGCCTATATTTCTATTTGAGCAAAATGAACTAATGGTTCGCTGGAGTTTTTGACAATTAAAATTGTGCCCACATTTTCAAAGTTAAACCCATTTCTTTTAACAACGGTAGTTTCTGCTTCAGCCCTCTCCCCCCCTCCCCCTGCGCAGCGGCTGCAAACTCACTGATGCGCCTGCAGCCTCTCGGAGTTTCTGCTGCTCTAAACATTAAAATAATTATTTAATTTTCTGTTCCTCACTTCTGATTACCTTCAATGGTGTCTGTTTGTTGCAACAGCAGGTACAAAAACTAACTTGTTTTTATTTGACTATTTTTCTGTCCTGCCTGTTTATTATCTTCCTGCATCTCCTCTCAATCCTAAAGAGAAACTGCTGCCTGGGTTCATATATATTCACCTCATGAGTTACCTTTGAACTGCAGTTCTAAAAGATCTACCGACCGCAAAAACAGCGGAGCGCTTGCTGTTTGGCGGCCGTATCAGTGATCAGTTCGTCGGAGGACAAGGTGATGCCCGCAGCGCCCCGCTCCACAGCATGCAGCGAAACGCATCAGGCGCAAATAAAAGACAGAAAGCATTAAAGGAAATGAACTGAACGATCGCGTGTTAAATTAGTTTTTGAGGTGGCGACACCTGATTGTTACTGTGGCCGTGCTCAGGAGGCAGATCTACCGACCGCGAAAACAGCTGAGCTCTCCCTGCTTGCCGGTCGCATCAGTGATCTGTGCGTCAGAGGACAAGTTGATGCGCCCCACTCCACAGCAGCGATACACATCAGGCGCAAATAAAAGACAGAAAACATTAAAGGAAATGAACCGACATGAACGATCGCGTGTCAGTAGCTACGGTCTGGCACAGCGCGTTGCTGATCACAGAGAATGTGATCATACGATAATTCAATAGGGAGCGTGGTTTCACAGACGCGGAAGTGATAGCGTCGGTGAAACGCCGACTGCTCTAGGAAACCCCCGAGCGTTCAAGCGTCAACGAAGTGACACTGAAATGCCGGGCTTTCCAGAAGTAAGTAAGATAACTTACTATGAGCTGATAGTTCGTTGGATTGATTGGTAGGTTGGAAACTCTGATCATGAATCTGAAGAAACGATGACTGAGTGGTGAGCTGGAAAGGCGACTTCCGTTTATAGCTGCGGTTTGTGACGTAGGTGCGACGTGGAGGGAATCCCCGCGAGGGGCATGCTGGTAGTCCCTACTTCGCGGATTTTCACCTATCGCGGCCAGGTCTGGAACGCATCTACCGCGATAAACGAGGGATTACTGTAGTTCATACACCCCCTACTGCTGCTCCCCAGAGTGTTCTGCAGCATAATCAGCACGTTCTCTTTGAACTTGATAGTGTAATGACCTGGCTGGGGTTGTAAGCCAGGCGCATTCTGGGTATTATGTTATATGTGTTTCCTATCATTCTGCTAGTTCCTATGTGCTGATTTGTGTGTTGTGTGAGTGTTATGTAAGCCACAGGGAAGGTGATGTGTGTTCTGTGGAGTGGGTTGAATTAGCATGGTTAACTGACACCGTGACTCTGTGTGGTAGGAGCGTGATAGAGGATGGGTGTCTGTAGTTACAAAGCGTTGAAGAAAAAGCCTATTAAGGGTCTGGGTGAACTTCTACTGCCTCCTGCTGGTTGATTTGGTGACTATAACCCTGCCGCTGGGACGCTCGTACTTGCTTGTTACCACATTCCATCCGGCCACAATAAGAGACCGGCCTTTATTTACCTCCGTTGACTCCGACACCGGCCAAAATTGGATACCCGGCTTTCAATTGAATACCGGCCTGTATTAGAGGATTTACGGTATTTTATTTCTCTGGACAATAAATATACGATATGGGCCACCTCTAGATGAAATTTAAATAATTGTACATTAATTATAAATATATAAATAAAAAGTGCCTATGGGACATTTGATACACCTCTAGCTCCCAACTGTGTGTGTGTTAACAGACAGCTGTACCAGTGTTTCTAAAGCTCAAACTGGTAGAGAATAGGCACTAAGGTTAAAGTTTGACAAGAGTCAATACATTTTTATGCATTTTATCTACTGATTTATGTATGTAATTTCTCAAGACAGCTTGAAGTGAGTTAACTTGTAAATATTTTACAGGAGGAAAAATATCGATATATATCGTATATCGGAATTCAGCAAAAAGATATCGAGATATAAGTTTTCATCCATATCGCCCAGCCCTAGTGTGAACAGGGAAAAACATCCAGTATGCAGCAGTCCTGTGGGCGAAAATGCCTTGTTGGTGCTAGAGGTCAGATGAGAATGGGCCGACTGATTCAATATGATAGAAAAGCAACTTTGACTTAAATAACCGTTACAACCGAGGAATGCAGCAAAGCATTTGTGAAGCGACAACATGCACAACCTTGAGGAGGATGGGCTACAACAGCAGAAGACCCCACCGGGTACCACTCATCTCCACTACAAATAGGAAAAAGAGGCTACAATTTGCACAAGCTCACCAAAATTGGTCAGTTGAAGACTGAAAAAATGTTGCCTGGTCTGATGAGTCTCGATTTCTGTTGGGACATTCAAATGGTAGAGTCAGAATTTGGCATAAACAGAATGAGAACATGGATCCATCATGCCTTGTTACCACTGTGCAGGCTGGTGGTGGTGGTGTCATGGTGTGGGGGGTGTTTTCTTGGCACACTTTAGGCCCCTTAGTGCCAATTGGGCATCGTTCAAATGCCACGGGCTACCTGAGCATTGTTTCTGACCATGTCCATCCCTTCATGACCACCATGTACCCATCCTCTGATGGCTACTCCCAGCAGGATAATGCACCATGTCATAAAACTCCAATCATTTCAAATTGGTTTCTTGAACATGACAATGAGTTCACTACTACAACGGCCCCCACAGTCACCAGATCTCAACCCGATAGAGCATCTTTGGGATGTGAAGGAATGGGAGCTTCGTACCCTGTATGTGCATCCCACACATCTCCATCAACTGTAAGATGCTATCCTATCTGGATGGGCCAATATTTCTAAAGATGCTTTCAGCACCTTGTTGAATCAATGGCGCGTAGAATTAAGGCAGTTCTGAAGGCAAAAAGGGGTCAAACACTGTATTAGTGTGGTGTTCCTAACAATCCTTTAGGTGAGTGTATAACATGCTTTCGGTATAGCTGTGTAAGAACATTTTGGCCGGTAAAATATGTTTGGCCGGTAGATATTTTTTCGGACCCTGGTTTCAGGTATCTGAAAGTTAATTCTGTACGAATATTATTGTGGATCTCTAATGTTAATTTCTGCCAGGAACAATAGAATTAAAGATTTCTGGAATACATACAATGAAGGAAATAATTAATTAACCCCTCACTGATTTTGTAAGTCTTTCCAATGTCAAAGAAATTAAAAGTCTCAGAACAATAACATTTTAATGGTAGGTTTATTTTAACAGTGACAGTTAGTACATCAGAAGGAAAATTCAATAAAAAAACTTTGAACAAATTTTAGAAACTGGTTTGCATTTCATTAAGTGAAATAAGTGTTTGAACTAAAGACTCATTACTTGGTGGCAAAATCCTTGTTTGCAAGCACAAGTACATTAATTAAAAATATTAAAAATTAAAATAATGGGAGAAAATTGTATAGCTTTTAATCTTTTTATAGTATTGGTAAGGTATACTAAATCAAAAATGTTTTGAACCTTGATTTGGAAAAAAAAAACGGTCCAATTACTTTATCAAAGCATCTTATTAGAACTATAAAATTTTCCTAGTAAATGTTTTGGTAATAAGACTTCAAGTGTCACTAACTATGGCAATATGATAGATAATTTTGGTCTTAGGTTTATTTGCTTAAAGAAAATTATAACTTGTGTTTTAAGAGCGTAACGTGTTGTTTTAAATCAACTTATCATCAGTTTCATTCATTTTAATAATGTAATAAGCAGGAAACAGAACAACCGGTGTACAGTTATTGATAAAGTTACATTTGTAATTAACATACTAACATATTTTTTCCTGTAGTTTTCATTACACAACTTTGTGGAGAAAGCAGAGAAAGGAAGAGAAACAGAGATGCATTGACCAGAGGAGTTAGACAGAGAGAAAGACAAAGAGGTAAGAATCTTCAAAGCCAGTTCAGCCAGTTTTTCTTGCATATGGACTTCAAATGTACAAACATTGAAATTAATAGCCTCGAAATGTCTTTTTTTTAATCTGGGAGTTATCATTTCTGATTAATTTCGTTAATTTATCTGACTTAAGATACTAACTATGATGTTTCATAATCTTTAGCAGAACTTAAGGACATGTAATTATGATTATAATTCTATCACCAAAGAGGATATATTATGATTCATCTTTGTTTTAACAGTTCTATTGTCTGTACAAAGCATGTTAATTTAGGACTTTGCATAAAGTTCCTTAAATCTCACATAAAGGGGGTTATTGTATTATTTGTAGCTGCAACTTTTTTCAGTGGGAAAACAAGCCTTTGCTGGCCATACCCATCCAACCCCCAGGAGATAGGGTGTTTACCAAAGGAACAATGGCAGAATATCTTTAACTCAGTCCTCAAATATTGGCTGGTCCGTTCCAGTCGGCCCACCTTGCATGGCCAAGTTTTGTTCACAAAGTCTTCTCGGCAATGTGGCTTAATCTGGGCATGTTCAAAACGATGCGCAAAGGTGTCTGTGAGCAGTGTTGCTTTTGGTAACTGATTCGAAGCACACTGCTTCCTACTAGTGCTGCCACGATTAGTTGATTTATGTTTATGTTTTTAGCAGACGCTTTTGTCCAAAGCGACTTACAAGTGATAATCTGCATGTTGCCCTTGAGGCTAACGACAACAACAATAACAACAACTTGACATCAATCATGGAGAGGAGGGAACAAAGGAGTGGACAGTAGAGAGGGGGGACGGGTGCAGGCAAGGTGCTAGTTAAGAAGATGCTCTCTGAAGAGCAGGGTCTTCAGGAGTTTCTTGAAATTTGAAAAGGAAGCCGCTGTTCTGGTAGTGCTTGGAAGGTCATTCCACATTTGTGGAACGATGCATGAGAAGAGTCTGGATTGTCCTGAGCGTGGTGTAGGCACTGCTAGCCGACGATCCTGTCATGACTGGAGCGGCTGGGCCGAGACGTAAGCCTTTGCAAGAGGATTCGGGTACATGGGAGCCATACCATCTCGGACTTTGTATGCTAGTGTTAGCAATTTGAATTTGATGCGTGCTGCTAGAGTTAACCAGTAGGGATGCACCGATCAGGTTTTTTGCTGCCGATCACCGATACGATATCAAAGAATGCTGATCACCGATACGGATCACCGATACCGATCACGTGGATTGGCCAGAAATTTTCTACAACATTATAATGAGTGCTACAAACTACATAATCTGGTAATAAAGGAAATGTAACCTAATCTAAAATGGTCTGTATTAGGGTTGTCACGGTGTGAAAATTTAACCTCACGGTTATTGTGACCAAAATTACCACGGTTTTCGGTATTATCGCGGTATATATTTTTTAAACGTGCTACATTTTCACACAATTAAATAAACCCTGTATGTCAGGCAATATTGTCCTCAGTTTGTGTCTAAATTTTGCCTAAAATGTGTTATTTTGTAATTATGTTGTTTATTTGTTTACATTTTTCCCTTTAGTCTTTAAAATACCAATATTTGCCCATAACTTCTTATTTTTTGTCTGTTTAATGTAATCATTTTAAAAATATTACATCAACTGATACTCAGTACTCAAGTAGCCTTCTAATGAGATACTTTATCACCCTTACTTGAGTAATAAACCCTATATAGCCTGCCAGACTCCTCCTGTTTAATTCTCCTGTTTGATGCACTGGGGGGTGTGGCAAGATGGCGCCAGCGTGTTCGGCAAGCCGTCTGCTGTTCTCTATTTTTTTAATTTTTTCGCTGTTCTTGTGTTTTGTGGTTAATGTTGGGACTGCTATCCTGACTTATGACCGTGCCAACCTCCTGGATCTTCGTTCGCCTTGGCTCCCTGGCCAGGATTACCACCACTATAATCGCGAGACCCTGCAAATGCTGCGCTCTACTATTCCAGCCTCTCTGTGGAGAATCCCCGGTCCGTTGTGGTTCAGGAAGCGGCGCCGTCGGCGCGGTAAGCGTGGTGGCTCTCTGGTCCGTGTGTGAGCTGAGCTGGCACGCTCCTCGGGGTTCATGCAGTCTCGAATGGGTGTGCCGGCTCGATGCCACTCTGTGAGGTGTTACCTGGAGTCTGTGGACCGGCGGCTCTTCTCCGCTCCCGGCTTTGCCTCTGGCCTCTGCGCTGCGTCCTCGTCTCACCCTGCTTCGTCTCCCTGCTGGTGCCACCGTGGTGTGGATTTCTCAAACATTCGGGTTCTGAAGCACATCTCTTCTCATACACCCAGGTTGGATCCAGTACCGCCGTACAGGTTTGCCCTGATGAATACTCGCTCTCTTGGCAATAAATCATTCATTATTAAGGATTATTTTATTGACAATAACCTGGATTTCCTTCTCATAACGGAATCTTGGATTGCTCCTGATGATTTAGCCACTATTTCTGAAACTTTACCTGCTGACTGCGCATATTTTAATAATCCAAGAACAACTGGTCGTGGTGGTGGTCTTTTGGCCATCTTCAAACGGACTATTGTCTGTAAACCCATCACCTTCCCTGATTTTACCAGCTTTGAGTTAACTGCCTTTGAACTGTGTTCTTCACCTCCCGTTCTCTGTGCCTTGCTGTACCGTCCTCCAAAATACAGCAAAGACTTTATAACCCAGTTTTCTGATATTTTATCTGATATCTGTTCACACTATGACCGTGTTCTTATCTTAGGTGATTTTAATATTCATGTTTGCTGCCCTGAGAAGCCTCTTGTGGGAGAATTTTTAAATGTTATTGACTCTTTTGGCCTGGCCCAGTTGGTTAATATGCCAACACATGAACGCTCTCATATTTTGGACTTGGTTATCACTCATGGCTTGAAGATCACTGACCTGTTTGTTGATGCTGTCCATATTTCAGATCATTTCCCGGTTTTGTTTCGCCTTCATAGATCCAATGCCTCTTTAATTAATTTAATGCCTGCTCGCAGAGCACGATCTTTTACTCCATCTACTGCAACAGAATTCTGTACTTTATTCACTGATCTTGTTTCCACTTTGCCGGTGTCTTCTAGCACTGATGATTTGTTGCACTTTTTTCAATCTTCCTGCCTTACTGTGCTAGATCAGATAGCCCCTATGAGAACTAGACGCTCTAAAGTTTGGTCGGATCCCTGGATCAGTGCAACTACCAGATCTGTCAGGCTTGAGTGCAGAAGAGCCGAGCGTAGATGGAAAAAGGATAAGCTTCAGATTTCATACCAAATAATGATAGATACCTGGGCTCGTTACCAGAAAGTAGTTAGAGATGTCCGTAATAAATTCTTTTCAAATATTATTACTGCATCCTTTGGCAACCAGCGTGTCCTGTATCAGACCCTCAATGCTGTTCTTTCAGCCAGTGACCACCACTCTCTTACTACCTCGGATGCTCAATGCACTCAATTTTTGAAATTTTTTCTTGGAAAAATTGCTAGTATCCGGGCTCAGATTAGTTCTCCCTATGTCACTAGTTGTCCTGAACCCATTCTGCATCGGTCTCTGGATAACTTTGACTTGCTTTCTTTGTCCTCTCTTGAGAACCTCCTGTCTGCCTTGAAGCCGTCAGGTTCTCCGGTTGACCCTGTCCCTCCACACCTCCTTAAAGAGACATATTCTGTCACTGGCCCCCTTATGCTGAGCATTATTAACAACAGCTTATCCACTGGTGTTGTACCCCGTGCTTTTAAACATGCAGTAGTTCAACCCGTTCTGAAGAAGCCTGGCCTTGACACCTCTGTTATGAGTAATTTTTGCCCGATCTCCAAGCTTCCATTTTTATCAAAACTGCTAGAGCGTGCTGTTTTTAACCAAATTATGTCTCATCTAGATGATCATCGTTTAATGGATCCCTTCCAGTCAGGCTTCCGATCCCTCCATAGCACGGAGTCAGCTCATCTTCGTGTTTTAATGACATTTTATTAACCCTTGACTCTGGTTCTAATGTATTGCTGGTTTTGTTGGATCTCTCGGCTGCTTTCGATACGGTTGATCATGCTATTCTGCTGACTCGGCTGAACCAGCTGGTCGGCATCCAGGGGACTGCCTTAGACTGGTTTAGGTCCTACTTTTGTGACCACACCTTTAATGTTATGATGGGTAGTGCTGCCTCCCCCTCTGCAGCTTTGACTTGTGGTGTTCCTCAGGGCTCTATTCTTGGACCCCTTTTATTTAATTTATATATTTTGCCCCTGGGTGACATTTTTAAAAAACACCACATTGATTACCATTTTTATGCAGACGATTGCCAATTATATGCCTCTGTGAAGCCTAATGACTCCTTACTGCCCCTTGTTGAATGCTGCAATGATGTGAAGAGCTGGCTGTCAGAAAACTTTCTTTTGCTGAACGACGCTAAGACAGAGGCCATCATTTTCAGCCCTGGTACTTCTCAAAGTCCCCAACTGACCCTTCCATTTATCACAAGTGGGTTGAAAAACCGTGTCACAAACTTAGGGGTTGTGATGGATGCTAAACTAAAAATGGACAGTCATGTCAACCAGGTAGTTAAGACCTGTTATTACCACCTGAGGCGTCTCTCTAAAGTTAAGCCCATGTTAAAAAGGCGTCATCTCCATTCAGTTGTCCATGCATTTATTACTTCCCGTCTCGACTACTCTAACTCAGTGCTGTACGGTATCTCCTCCTCCACTCTCGCTCGACTTCAGCTTGTGCAGAACGCAGCAGCTCGTTTCTTGACTGGCACCAGGCAGCGGGAACACATCACACCGGTTTTAGCAAATCTCCATTGGCTCCCCATCCATCTCCGGATAGAGTTTAAGATCCTGGTTTTTGTTTTTAAATCCCTCAATAACTTAGCACCTGGCTACTTGTCTGAGCTCATTCACCCATATGTCCCTACAAGATCCCTCCGTTCAGCTGACCAACACCTCCTACATGTCCCTAGCTCTCGCTGTAAGTCCCGTGGGAAGCGCGCCTTTTCAGTTTGTGCACCAAAGCTCTGGAAGAACTTGCCCCTCCCGATCAGACTCTCTTTCCTCTCTTTCCCTTTTTAAGTCTCGTTTAAAACTCACTTTTATTCTCTGGCTTTTAATTCTGTCTAACTTATTCCCTTTCTCCTTTTCTTTTCGAGTTGGATTACTTGATTTTAATGGATTTAGTTTTTATTTTTAATTGTTTTTATTGTGTGTTTTTGTTCAGCACTTTGGTCGGCTCTCATGCCGTGTTTAAATGTGCTATATAAATAAAATTGGTATGGTATGGTATATCAGGAAAATATTGTCCTCGGTTTGTGTCCTTCCAGTGAGCTTTGCAGATGTGGGAAAATGTCATCAGGCAGTAATCATTGTTAAATTCATTATTATTCTAGGAGAGAGACCAACTCTTCTCTGCCCCTGGGAGCCCCGTAATGCATAGCGTCATTTCAACATGGGGGTGTCCGCGACACGGTTAATATGCAGGTAGCGGCGCTGCGGCTGCTTCATATAGCGACTCGTTGCGTTCTCCCTCAACCCAAATCCTCGGCTCACGCATTTTAGCTAAAACGCTAATGTTAGCTTGCCTTGCGTTGACTGTAGAGTTGTGGGTGATGGTCACGCAGATGTGTCATGAGATTAGAAGCCATGCTGCCTTTCACAGACACTTTTTCTGCACGTTCTGCAAACAGGATGGCCGTCCGTCTTCTATAAACTCCCTCGGCATTCTTCAAATATCTAAAAGATGCCCGTACTTCCGACTTTGTCTTTGAGGGATAAAAAATGTCCTCCTGAGCGCTGCCTCCTCCTCCTTTGGCCATTATTTCAGCTTTAGCTTCAAGAAAGTTTTGGCTGTAAACAGCAAAGCACGCATGTGCCGCCCGTGTCAGATGATACGGTGGCTGGTAAGGGTCACCGCTCCTACACCGCAGCCACGGTAAACCCACCAAGATAATATAGTTTTTTTTAAAAAAACAAGACTGTTATTATTATTGTCAACTTTTTTTTTTTACCGGGGTTTACCGCTACACCTGTTACCGTGACAACCCTACCTAATCGGTCTGCTTTGATCTATTTTGAAAACTCCGATCAACACCGATAGGGGCGCTATCGGCCGATTACGATCAAATGCCGATCCATCGGTGCATCCTTATTAGCCAGAGGAGCTCAATGAACAGAGGGGTGACGTGTGCTCTTTTTGGCTGATTGAAGACCACACGTGCCGCTGCGTTCTGGACCATTTGAAGAGGTCTCACAGAACAGGCTGGAAGACCAGTTAGAAGGGCAATGCAGTAATCGAGGCGGGAGATTACAGTGGATTGCACCAGGAGCTGGGTGGCATGTTGTGTTAGGTATGGTCTGATCTTTCATATGCTATACAGCGCAAAGCGGCATGAACGAGCAACAGAGGCGACATGATCTTTAAAGGTCAGGTGTTCATCAATCACAACAGCCAGATTTTGAACTGCCTTTGAAGGAGCCAGAGATAGGAAGTCATTTTGGATTGAGATATTGTGCTGTAAGGATGGTTTTGCTGGGATGATAAGTAGTTCAGTTTTAGAGAGGTTGAGTTGGAGATGATGGGATTTCATCCATTTTGATATGTCAGAGAGACAGATAAGATATTCGTGCAGAGACAGTGTGGTCGCCTGGTGGAAATGACAGATCTGGGTGTTGTCGGCATAGCAGTGGTAGGAGAAGCCATGTTATCGAATGATCTCACCCAGTGAGGTGGTGTATATGGCAAAGAGAAGATGTCCTAGTACAGAGCCCTGGGGGACTCCTGTGGCAAGATGGTGCGCAGTAGAGGATTGTCCAAGCCAAGATACACTGAATGATTGTCCTGTGAGGTACATTCAAACCAGGCTTGTGCTTTCTCTGTGATGCCCATGCTAGAGAGTGTGGACAAAAGGAAGCCATGGTTGACAGTGTCAAAAGCAGCCGATAAGTCGAGCAGGATAAGCACTAAAGATTTGGCAGTCGCTCTAGCTTCTTTTAAGGATTCCATCACTGCTAACAGAGCAGTTTCAGTGGAGTGGCCCTTTTAGAACCCAGATTGGTAAGGGTCAAGCAGACAGTTTTGTAAGAGGTATTCTGTGAAATGCATAAAAGCCACCTTTTCAATGATTTTGGACAAAAAAGGGAGGAGAGAGATAGGTCGGTAGTTCTCCACATGATTTGGAGGAAGATATGTTTTTTTTAGCAGCGGTTTAACCTGAGCATGCTTGAGAGAGGTGGGAAATGTACCGGATGTCAGTGAAGCATTGATCACATGTGTGTCTACTGCGGCTACTGTAGGAGTAATGGCTTGGAGCAGCTTAGTCGGAATGGGGTCGAGTGGACATGTAGTAGGGCGGCTGCACATGAGAAGCTTGGACACAGTTCTCAGTGAGAGGGGAAAAAAGAGGAAAATGAAGCAGAAGGGCTTGAGATGGTTGGACTAAAAGGAGTTTGTGGTAGCGAATGTTCAGGAATGGCCAGTTGACTAAACTGTTAGCTTATAGCTGTCGCTTTGTCAGTGACGAATGAGGCAAAGATGTCAGCTGATAGATTGTTGGTAGGAGGTGGAGAAGGAGGGGTGAGCAGAGTTTTGAATGTTGAAAATAGTTTCTGAGAGTCAGTAGAGCTGAGAATTTTGTCAATGTAGAAAGCTTTCTTTGCATCAGTGATGCTGGCAGAGAATGAGGACAGTAATTCATGAAATTTCAATTGATCACCGGGATCTTTTGTTTTGCGTCATTTCCGTTCCGCGGTTCTAAGATAGGTGTGTAGAGACTGGAGGGTATCATTTAGCCAAGGGTGCGACTGACGACATGACGATTTGTCATGATGACGTCGACAAACAAAATTGTCGACAATAAATGTAATAGTCGATGTCATCATTTATTCTACGAAGCACAATTTTTTTTATTAATCTTGTCGGCTGCGGGATCCGTTTGCAGCTTCTTGCGCTGTCCTTTCAATAGCAACTGCTACTTCTTGCTTTTAGGTCTGTATTTGTATAGCACCTTGTAACCTCACGTAGATTTTACTAGAGGTGGTTCACATGAAAATCTTTGTGGTTTAACACCGAGTGGACCAGATCAAAAGATTCTAGACTCTGAGGAGCAAGTGGTGGAGTGACGACATGGACCAAGCAAGGTATATATAACAATGGTTTATTACCAGCATTTATAACCCACTTAATATATAACAAAGCGCTTTGTGAAATAAAATAAAATGAAATAAAATAAAATAGTAAAATGAAATGTCACCAGTCTGTGTTTGTTCAGTCAGTCAGTCAGCTTGACAAATGTTCATGAAATCCTTGTCAGTCAGATCTTGGGTTGAAGTCGAGTTCAGGTGAGTGACAGACCAGTTAATCACCGGCTTGATGGTTCGGTTGGGCTGGGGCTCGCCATCCAGAACTGGAACAAGAATCTTCAATTCACCGAGGTGAATCAATCCAAAATAAAAAAAACCTGACCTAGAGAAGGTCAGAATACAATATTTTAACGCTGAACTGTGGTTTACAATCTGCATTAGTCCCATGAAATCAATTCCTTTACAATTAAATCACACGTTGTACAACAATTAATTCAGTTCAAGTAGGTACCATAAGATAATGAAGTCACTAAATTACTAATAAATCAGTTGAAATGAGTTTCCAACAAGAAATTCTGTAATAAGCTTCAACTTCTTTTCATATCACAATTTTATAAACTGAGCAATAATGTTTTAATTGGTCATTTAAAACACTCATCACCTCCACATCTATAACCATCTTTCCAGTTAAGGTAAAACTGCAGGAACTAATATTTAAGTGCCAAGTTAGTTCTAACGGCTGTTGAAGGTTAGCAACGGGGCTAATATAGCTTAGCATGAATTAACACACATACACACTAATAGACTCACCAAGAAAAGTCAGCTTGGTTTACACGGGGTTTCCCAAGGGTAACGGCAAATCACGGTCTTCGGACCTCTGTATCTCTACAGCGTAACAAATAACTT